TTGGGCAGGGGGTTGGACTGGGTGACCCACAGAGGTCCCTTCCACCCCTACCATGCTGGGATTCTGTGATTCTGTGAGTTAACTCCAGTGTGCTTGGGTCTGTGCTGACCAAAAAGACAAGGAAGCGAAGCGCTGCACCCATGCCTCAGATACATTTCATGTCAGTCCTGAGGGTGTAGGCGCACGCTGCTGCCCGGGGCATCGGCCCTGCTGCTCCCTGCCCGGGGCTAAGGGCTTCTGCAGGCAGAAACGAAGTGGTTCCTGGCCCGGAGCAGCATCGTGGGCAGAGAGAGCGGCTGAGGGTTCTGGCTGCTGCTTGGGGTCCGGTGTGCCAGGCTGCTGGGAGGCAGCTGGAGCCAAACATCAGCCTCTGGATGCTAAATAGGAGACTCCCTCTTGGGTGCTGAATGGGAGACTCCTTCGTGCCTGGGACATGTGAAAACACATCTCCTCCAAAGAGCTGGGGCTGCGGGCTGCGCCTTGCCCAGGGGAAGCGTGGTTTGTTTTCACAGAACCACTGAATCATTCAGGTTGGCAAAGACCTCTGAGATCACCAAGTCCAACCGTCACCCCAACACCCCCACGCCTGCTAAACCATGTCCCCAAGTGCCACAGCCACACGGTGTTTGAACCCTTCCAGGGATGGGGACTCCCCCACGGCCCTGGGCAGCCTGGGCCAAGGCCTGACCACTCTTGCAGGAAAGAAATTTTTCCTGATCTCCAATCTGAACCTCCCCTGACACAACTTGAGGCCGTTGCCTCTCGTCCCATCACTGGTTACTGGGGAGAAGAGACCAACCCCCCCTCACTACCCCCTCCTGTCAGGGAGCTGCAGAGAGCCATGAGGTCCCCCCTCAGCCTCCTCTTCTCCAGCCGGAGCGGGACCACCTCCTCGGGCTCTTTGCAGAGCGGGCTCGGTTTGCTGCCTGCAGACCCCGAGCCCAAAGGCTGCGCCGGAGCCTGGGGCTGCTGCAGGGGGTGGTTATGGCCGTGGAGCTGGAGAAAAGCACGCTGGCTGGTTGGCCCGCCCTCAATCCACCCACCTAAAAATGAAGTAAAAATGTAAATAAAATTAGAGAAAAGCTCAGCCTTTCTCTGCAGTGGTCAGTCGCTGCAAAGGGGGAGTTGTGCAGGTGAAGCCTAGCAGGGGAGAGCTGTCTTTGCTTAATGAAATTCAGCTTATTATAAGTTCTTGCTTATCTTAATTTTTCTTAGCCTGTGTGCCTTTCTGTAGGGCTGGATTGTACCTACTTGATTTCAAATCGGTGTGTCTTGAGTTGTCACGTTAAATCTAACGCACTTGTCTTTACTGAATTTTTTGAGCTTTCCTTTGGCAGCTGTATAACTTAATGTATGCATAATAAATGCACTTTTCCTGTGTGAAAACAGAGCACGATGCCTACATTGGCTGGATTTGTGCAGTCACACAGGAGCCGGGTTATTAAAAGCAGGAATATTTACGGCTCTGTTAAAATACCTGGAGCTATGTAGACACGGAAGGAGCTGTGATAGACTCATGGGTTTGAGCGTAGCGGGTGGTGTTCCCTAGTGAGGTCTAAATTTTTTCAAGGTTATTTAGGCTCTTTCTCTCATTTCTCAAGTTATTTGACAAGAACTGTTTTGCACAGTGGAAACTCAAAGCGCATGAGAAGTGGGAGAAACAGCAGACTGGCTTTATTATGGAGACTGAAAACTCTGTGTGCAGCCATGTCCCTTGTGGAGTTTGAACTCACCTCATGTCTCGTTAAAGACAGCATTATAATTAAACTTTGCAGCTGTTTAAAGCAGAATACTGGGCTCATTAATGCAACTCCAAAATTGAAATGTCTTTAATTCATAGCAGACCTTGTAATTACAGCTCTGGGACCGGCGTGCTGAGCACCTACTTCTAAACGTGCTGAGCTATTCTTGGTGCACCTCTGAGCTGTTTTGTTTGAAAGCAGCTTAAACCAGAGCCCAGCAGCCTGCCCGGTCGGGGGGTGCACGTGGTGGTCTCCCTCCGTCACAGGGCACTAACGTGGCTCTTTCTCTTCCAGCTTGCGCGCTCACCGTGACGCTGCCGATGAGCCTCTATAACTTCTACAAGTAAGTTCCTCTGTCCTGAAGTCTCCCTCCCCGCACTGGCACCTTTGCAACAGCCCCGAAGCCTCTTAGAACTTTTTTTTCCATATTATTTTTCAGATGACTGAATGCCTCTGCCACGCCAGAAGGTCCCAGTTTGCAGGGTGCGCTGGGAGGAGTGGGCTGGCAGCCTGCTGAGCAGGGTCGTGCAGGAGGGCCCCCAGCTTTGGTAGGCTTGTCCCGTTGGTCACAGCAGAGAGCCAGCCAGCCAGGTGCTGCTGCAGGTTGGGTGGGTTTTGGGTTAGCGGTGAAGGTGTGCACCTCCCTCGTCTGCCCGTGGTTACGACTGATCTCAGCAGCTTTGGGCAGCAGAACAGCCGACGAGATTTTGCAGGTCCTGAAGGCAGGGACCACAGAATCACAGGATGGCAGGGGTTGGCAGGGACCTCTGTGGGTCCCCCAGCACAACCCCCTGCCCAAGCAGGGTCACCCAGAGCAGGGGGCACAGCACCGCGGCCAGGCGGGGCTGGAATATCTCCAGAGAAGGAGACTCCACAGCCCCTCTGGGCAGCCTGGGCCAGGGCTCC